AGCAGTGCCGCGAAACGTCTTAAAGAGAGCGACCTAGTCCGCGACTCAACCTTGTAATTTCTTCGGTGGCAAATATTTTAAAATCCGAAAACAATAATTTTAAGACGTTTCGAACTACCACGACTACCGAAGAAATTATTGGTTCTTTTGCGGATATTGTCTTTGAGAAATCGTTCATGTTTGAGAGAAGTCACTTCAAACGTTGGCAACAAAAGATGAAGTTCTTAACGTTGAAAAAAAGTTGCTAACGTTCTGATCGATGACATTCTGTTGCTCCTTCTAGATCAATCGAACAAACTAACGGTAGTAAATCTGGAGATTTAGAAGGAACACTTAATAGTGTTCAAGTTGAATCTGCTGCACAAATTAAAGCGAATGATTTACAACATAGTAAAGAAATCACCTTATAGAAAGAGAATGAAAATCTCTACAAAATCATATTTTGAATAGACTCGCAAATGATCTGTATGATAATTACAGTTGATGTGATACTGCAAAACAAGATTGAAAGACTCAAAAAAAAGTATGACGTAGAAGCTGGAGCAAAGAAGTATGTTGTTAGCCGCTACTTCAAGTATCAAATGAAAAGATGTAAGATCGATGAAGGCTCAATATTACGAACTTCAAAAGATTGCTTAAAAGATCATCACAAAAGGTATGTGTTTAAATGAACAATTTCAAATTGGTTTTATTATTGACAAACTACCCCATAGTATGAATGTTTAAAAAAACAAAAAAAGAATCTTAGAGACAATATCAAAAAGAAAAAGTCTTGGTTGTTTTAAGCAACAAAAAGAAATTCGGTGTAGTTCTGAAGCCATTTGGCAAATGATTAAAGAATCAGAACTGCAATGTTGTGAGCCGAATTAAAAATGGGAATTCTTCTATGATCCGAATAGCTCCAACTAGGCAACAACCACCACCTAAAAGAAATGACGTTGGTTTCCCTTTGTTTTAACTATGGAAAATCAAGTCATATGACTAAGAAATGTATAAGTAAGCTTGAACTTGGTGTTGTCCTTAATGCACAGGCCAACCTGACTAATGTGCAATTTATTGCTATGGTCATTGAAATCAACATGGTTGATGGATATGTTGGTTGGTGGATAGACACATGCGTCTCTCGTTGTGTCTGTTATGATCGTGTTATGTTTAAACATACACGAATACTAAAGATAAGAAAGTGTTGTTGGGAGATGGCCAGACCATGAATGTTGCTGGAGTTGTAGACATGGAGCTAAATTTCACCTTCAAAAAGACTTTAATCTTAAGGAACGTTATGCATGTTCCTAAGATTAGAAAGAATATTGTTTCTGGTTTTTTTTTAAATAAGATAGGGTTTAGTCAGTCTATTGGGGTAGATTTGTACACCATTACGAAGAATGAAGTTTATATGTTTAAAATTTTTGTAAAGAATTTGAAAATGATATAATACGAATTTGTAGTGATAGATAGACTGTATGATTCTAGTTTATTAATGAATTTTATATATGGAATTGTACATGAAACGACTGCACCATACTATCTTGCAATGAATGGTAAAATAGAAAGAAAGAATAGAACTCTTACTGAACATGTTGTTGTAATTATGATGAACTCTGGTGCTGCACCTCACTGGTGGGGGGAAATTTTATTGACTGTTTGCTATGTCCTGAATAGAGTCCCCAAGTCAAAATGTAAGATCTCTCCTTATGAGATATTAAAGAAAAGACAATCAAACTTGTATTATTTTAGAACTTGGGATTGTCTGACTTATGTCAGAATTCCGGATCCGAAACAAGTTAAACTCGCTAGTAGAGCATATGAATGTGTCTTCATTCGGTATGCAACAAACAGTAAAGCATATAGGTTTTATGACCTAAAGGAAAAAGTGATCATAGAATCAAATGATGTTGAATTCTATGAAGACAAATTTCCTTTCAAATTAAGAAATAGTGGGGGCATACAATTGAGTCACATTCCTGTGATAAGAAGCACAGAAAGCAACGACAATGTAGAAACAGAACTTCTACGAAGTAAACGAGTAAGAGTTGCTAAAGACTATAGGACTGATTATGCGGCTTATAATGTAGAATAAGATCCAATGAATCTTCAAGAAGCCTTGTCATCTCTGGATGTTTATTTATGGCAAGAAGCTATCAATGATGAGATAGAATCTCTAGAATCTAACAAGATCTGACACTTAGTAGACTTGCCTCCTGGTTGCAAACCAATCGGTTGTAAATGGGTTTTGAAAAAGAAACAAAAAGCTGATGAAATTATTGATAAATACAAGGTTCTCCTTGTTGCCAAGGGTTTTAGACAAAGAGAAAATATAGATTTCTTCGACACCTTTTCTCCCGTCATTAGAATTACATCCATTGGGGTACTTATTTCAATAGCTGCTATTTATAACTTGATAGTACACCAAATAGATGTTAAAACAACTTTTTTAAATGGTGACTTAGAAGAAGAAATCTATATGAAACAACCGGAAGGGTTTGTGATCTATGGATAAGAAAACAAGGTCTGTAAGTTAGATAAATCTTTGTGTGGGCTAAAACAAGCTCCAAAGCAATGACATGTAAAGTTTGATAACTTAATGATATCGAATGTGTACAAAGTGAATGAAAATGACAAATACGTTTATTACAAATTTGAGAATTGTATTTGCACTATCATATGTCTATATGTAGACGATCTACTCATATTTGGATCAAACATTCAGGCCATTAATGATATGAAATCATTGTTGTGCAACAACTTTGATATGAAAAACCTCAGAGAAGTGAGTGTGATTCTTGGTATCAAGATCACAAAATCCGAGCAAGGAATTTCTTTGGATCAATCACAATATGTGAAAAAGATCTTAAAGAAATATAATTACTTTGACAGTAAACCTGTGAGCACACCAAATGATCCAAGCGTGAAGCTGTTTAAGAACACTAGTGAAAGTGTTAGACAAACATAACATACGAGCATCATTGGAAGTCTTAGGTATTTTATTGATTGTACTAAACCTGACATTGCATATGTCGTGGGATTGTTGTGCGGGTTTACTAGTAGACCGAGTAATGAACATTGACAAGCTATTGAGCGAGTCATACGATACCTTAAAAGGACCATGAATCTCAGTTTACATTATCAGATATTTCCTATTGTACCTGAAGGATACAATGATGCAGATTGGAATACTTTATCAGATGATTCCAAAGAAACTAGTGGCTATGTATTCAACATAGCTAGAGGAGTTGTATCTTGGAAATCAAAGAAACATACTATCCTGAAAATATATCATTAGCGACTACTAGTGAAGAAGCAAGTTGGTTAAGATGCTTGCTAACTGAGATTCCCTTATAGGAAAAACATATGTCAGTTATGTTGATCCACTGTGATAGTACCACGACTATTGCAAAAATTGAGAACCGTTATTATAATGGTAAAAGACGTCAAATAAGAAGAAAGTACAACACTGTTAGAAATTGTATCTCTAAAGGAGTTGTAAGAGTGGATCATGTACGCACTGATGAAAATTTAGCAGATCCTTTAACGAAAAGATTAGCTAGAGAGAAAGTCTATAATACATCATATAAGATGGAACTAATGTCTATAGGAAAATGAGTTGCTCATGATGGTAACCCGACCTAAATGACTGGAGATCCCAAGAAATAGGTTCAATGGGTAATAATAAGTTGTGAGTAATATGAGATGATCATGCAAGTAAAGTATGAATCCTGAAGTAATAAGAGGATGAGATAATAGAAACTCTTAATGAGATCTATACTCTGTATGAGGGAGTACCTAAGCTACAGGAGTACTCTTGATAGACTCACCTATGTGATTGTGGAACTTAGGCCGGTTCCTATGGAATTTCGAGGCAGAATTCCTAGAGCCTTCATTAAACTGGGATACACGTGCAGGGCCATTAAAGCACAGACTATTAGAATACACCTTAAGAAAAGGTTGTGTGCAGGTTTGATGTCTGAGATAGAGTTCAAGACATTTGTGTCACTCTTGTTGAATTGGAATCTTACTTGCTATGCAAAGGTTCAAGTCGTAGACACCTTTGTTTATGCACAATCTTAGAAACGTTTAACGTTACTTCTAAAATCAATTTTTTAAATTCAAGTGGGGGATTTTTGGAACATGTCCATGTTTCAATATGTTGAATTTAAAAATATCTCAAGTCCCACATTGTTAGAATATTTTTTTGGTTGAAAAAAACCATTTAGTCCCACACTGCTCATGTGTGAAATATTAACTATTTTACTTCACTATATAAGGAGTGCACATGTTTCATTTTAAAACACACATTCCCTCCTCACTCTCACAACTCTGCATCTCTCGAATTGTCGAAGCGCCATCTTCTTCCCCTTTCTTCCTACTCGTTGAATTTTCCGAGTATTTTCTTGAATTCTCTTTAGAGAATTATGTTAATTTCTCCTCATTTGAGTTGAGAAATTTTCAAGTTTAATTTTTTGGATTCTCTTTGGAGAATTATTTGAATTTCTTTGTTGGAGAAATTATTATGAGTGGTCAAATGACCATTATTAATTTCTCTTTGGAGAATTATTTGAGTTTCTTTTTGTTTGAGAAATTAATATGAGTGGTCTTTGTACCAGATACTACTAGTGGTGTTGATACCATATTTGAATGGTCTTGTCTTGTACCAATCAGAGGGGTATTTCTAGACCGATTATCTATCGTGCAAGTAGTAATCGTACAATATAGAACTGTACTATTTTATTCTAGAGGCGGCGCGTGCTGCGAAATATCTTAAAGAGAGCGACCTAGTCCGCGACTCAACCTGGTAATTTCTTCGGTGACAAATATTTTAAAATCCGAAAACAACAAAAACAAAAATACTTGATCTATCTATTATTGTTTGTTGACAAAAACATTATTATTGTTGAATGCATGTTTCTTTATTGGTGGTTTACCAATTACAACCGACAAAATACTCTTTTGAGAGACTAGTTCAATGATATATACTGTAACTTTAGTTTCTTATTGGAGAGACCTTAAACGGCCAGAGAGGGCAAAACATTGTAGTTCAAATCCCACAGCTCAAAAGTGCCATTAACAAAATTGTAATGTGCTCCTTTCAAAGCAAGTGTTTTCTTCAGAACAGCTTCTCTCACAAATGAATAGGTCAATAAGTTTCCAAGAGATACATTCACAGCTTCCTGCATTTTATTTAGAATATTAAATTACAATTTTAAACACTAAATTTAATTTAATCCATTATTAAGTTACAAAATAAATAAATTAATTTGTTTACCTTTTCACAGTTTGTACACTGCTCTGCGAAGCTTAAGCTGCTTGTATCTGTTTTAATCTTGGACTTTGCTGGATTACATATTTGGACCCAATTTTCTATGAAGTCACTGTTAACATTATGGAAGACGAAAATTATATTTCATGTGAATCATGATATGTTGTTGTTTAACATGAAATGTTAGAGGAGCATTAATAAAATAAATTCAATTTACACTTGTGCTTGGTATATTCTGGCCAAAAGGTTCTAATATGTACTTGTGCTTGGTATATTCCCAAAGAATTTTCTACAAAAAGTTGTTGCTTTTGATAAACCAATGGAGATAGATGATTTTGTTTATTGCTTATTAACTAATATTAATTATTATGCTAGACATGTGATTGATAAGTATACTTAACATTTCAACCATGGGATGAAAAGTTGATCTGTGAATCAACAACATACTTGGAAGTTATGAAAAGCTATCACAATATATTTAATTAATTAAATTTTAATCACATGCAAGTCTAATACTCATAAAAATAATTTATCACTTTTTAATAAAATAGAAAGTAATTAGTAACAAAAACTTGCCTTGCGATGGTGCCATCATCTGGGATAGACATGAGACCCTTGATACCTCCACAGCAGCTGTGTCCAATTACTACAATATTCTCCACCTGTAAGGCATAACGTTTAGAATTCAAATACAAAAAAGTAAAATGCTATTAGAGTTTTGGATAAAGACATATAACATATTTACATTTTTTTATAAAAATTATATAAGTACGTAAATGAAAATTATAATTGAACTTTATATAAAGATATATGAAAATTGAGATGCGTGTGGACCCGAGAAATAAGGCAGCATAACATAACAATGTGAAATGGCATCCACTACCGAACTTTCTGCCGTTGAACTGACCAACCATATTACTAGTTTATAATTCTTATAAAAATAACAATAAAGTAGTTTTATAATAATAATAATAAATAATAATAATAATTCATGAGAAACAAACAAATCAGTGCCTTTAAATGTAGTACAGCATATTCAATGGCCGCCCCTGCTCCCGAATACTTGGTCTGTAAAAACAGAAAGGCCGGTCAGACTTTCCTGTCTCAATTCAAACATCAGATCACCAATTCAAAAACAGAGAAATTAACATTAACATTATAATATTAAAATATTAAGCATTGAAAATTTCATAAATTTATAGAATTTTTTTTCCGTAAAAGTCACATTTCTGAAATAAATATCATATTATAAAAATAAAATCTCAAAATGTCACGTATAAAGAGATTCACGCCATTTAAAATGGCATAAAAGTGAGACTCTTTGTACAGTATGCATGCTGAACAAAAATATATTGTACAAAAGATCTCACTTTTATACCATTTCAAATGACATGAACTTCTGTGCGTGATATTTTGAGATTTTATTTTCAGATGGTGGTATTGTGAGATTTTCGTTTCAAAAATGTGGAATGTACAGAAAAATTCAAATTTATACTAAAAAATAGGTTTTTTTTTATATTTTTTTTTTACAAAAAGAAGTAAAAAACTCGGTTGATATTTTATAAAAAATTATGGGTATAGTTGGAGGCCAAATGCAATATAAGCTCATGTGTTCTCCTTTATCTTGTTTTTAATACATTTCTAAGTTTATAAAAAAAAATAAGTTTATGTAATGTTATATAATTATTATTTTTGTAAATTACCTCCATTTTTAATTATAAATTTTTTTTGAGTTTTTTCTTATCTCTTTTTATAATATATTTTTTAATTTTTAAAATATATTAATTATTTTTTTTCAAATATATCTCTAATTATATTACATATTTATTCTAACTGTTTTTTAATTCCAATAATTTATTAAAGAGAGTCTTATATTTAAGAAGAGAGATTATATTTGGCAATTCATGTTTAAACACGTATTGAGTATAAAAGTAACCACAAAAGTGAACCTTGTCATATGGTGGAACCATGTTGGCGATGTTTCTGACCACAAAAGCTTCACCTGGTTGGAAATCCAAAATGTGGGAAGGACAAACCCTTGAATCTGAGCAAGCAAACACCATAAACTGCATGTACAATTTAATCATTAATCATACAATAGTACTACTACTATCCATTAGAAAAACTTTATACTATAATGATGCTAAATTTAAGTCAATACTTTTTTCCCTATATTATAGTTAGTATTATAAACCAAATAATTTAAACTTCCAATGATTATGAAATCAATATAATATAATCACTGTTCATCAGATAAGAAACAGAATAATGCAAGAATAAAAATTTAAAATTAATTTGTGTGAAATGAAATAATAGTATATAATGATAACAAAAAACTAACCTTTGGACTCTGACCTTTGGCAAGTTCACTGTACAGATCAGGATTTTTTCTGAAAAGAAGACGTACAATACCTTCAATATTTCAGTAAAATATACTTTCTTTATTATTTAAAAGTTAAATATTTTACAATAAAACATTAAAGTTTAATGTGAATTATTATTTTATTTTATAATTTTAATTATTTAATTTATTCATTATCGATTAACTTAACCAGGAAGAATTCATGTCTTTCACTTTCTATAACCACTTTTTTTTGTTTTTTTTTTATCCTTCTTTTTAACACGAAAGTGTATTTCAATGAATTTTATCCAACTCGAACAGTTACGTTCTGAACAATAATCTTCTTAAAACAAATGAAGTAAAAATAATCGTAAGAAACGTACTCGAATTTCTCAGTTTTGAATTGAATGAAGCCGGATCGGATCCTCTCATCCGGGTTAAACGGTTTTGCAGCGGTTGCCTCTAACTCCGCCGTGAGCTCCCTGATCCTAACGGCCGCGATGCTGCCTAGCTCAACTTTCTCCCTGCAAATAAAAATGAAACGGAAACTGTTATATTGCATGGAAAATAAGGCGTACAATGCGGTGCTTATGAGGTCGTATGACAATAACAATAACTGAACCAACCACCATCAAGAGAGAGATTGTGGTTTTTTTTCTTCTTACTGGATAAGCTTGGTCAGCGATGCGATGGTTTCATCGTATGATTCTGCAGCCATGTCTTCCTTCTGATTTCGTTCAAAAAACACAAACGAAACAAAAACGGTTAAAAATCAACACGAAAACATTTTCAGATCATTCTCAAATTTATATGATAGATCAAAATTGATTAATATACTATATGAATTTATGTGTTTTTGACAATAATTGGATGATAAGAATCTGGTGGATGAATTAGACAAGAATTACATCTAGAGTATAGACAAACCTTGTTGTTTTTTTTTATTGGTGTGTTTCCTGTGTGTGATACTGGTGAGATTTGTAAGAGAATAGGGAAGAAATTTTGATGCAGTAGCAATGAAGAGAAACCACACAAAGAAAACAAGACTTGCGCTTGGTGTGGCACTTAACACGGTTCATAATATACTAATTTGCTGTTGTTGTTGACACCAATAAACTAGTATTCAATGTTTTGTTTTGACTCAAATATATTTAAAAAATAAATATTAAATAAAGAGTTTAAGAGAGATTCACATCTAATAGAACATATTATTTTGTGATGTTATATAAATTTTTTAAAATAAAAATTTTATTTGATTAAATTTATGATTGTGATTGATTGACATTGTAATTTTTTTTTTTTTACATTTTCAATATATTATTTATTTTCTCTTAAATAAAATTATTTATATTTTTAATTTAATGAGTATACACTTACAAATATAATAATTTTACAGAATCGTCTAATTGAAAATTAATATTTTATTATATTATTATCAATATTTTAAAAAGATATGAGTGATTTAATAAAATATACATCGTTCATTGTTTACAATGTAATATATTTCATTTTTAAAATATATTTTTATGGTCTATAAAGATAATCATATAGATAAAATCAATTAATTTCTCTAGAATGAAATAAAAGAAAAAATAATAATTTTTTTAATTTCATTTAAGATGGAGTATTTTTTTAGATAAATTAATAATAATTTAAAATAGTGAAATATTATTAAAAAATTGGATAAAAATATATGTTTAATTAAATTCTAGAGAATTGAAATATTTAATATTATTTCACATTTTTTTGGTTGAAAAATGTTACTATTTTTTAGTTTATTAAATAATATCACATAAAATACTATTCAATAAATTTTATTTTTTTATTACTCTACTTTATTTGAAATCAAAATTGGAATGAGTAATAAATTAATGTTTATATTTGGGGTTAAGTCTTGGATAAGGACAACTCATTTGTTTTTTCAAAAAAGAATTATTGTGCTTTATGGTTGTTAGTAGATGTACCATCAGATAAGTAATTGAAGCAATTAAGAATAAGTATAATTTCGAAGATTTGTTCTTATTATATTATTAGAAAAAATTTATGTGGCTTTCCTATTAATTGCTACACAAAAATGACAATAAGAATAATTTGTCTTGTTATTTTTTTCTATATAGTCTGGTGATTGAAGTTTATCTTTTAAAAATAAATAAGTAGAATATTATCAATTTATACCCACAATTTTATATTTAATATTCTTGCATAATTATTTATTGAATTGATTTAATTGAATATTTTTATCGATGTTTTGGAAAGAGATATTTCTGTAAAGTATAATTTCATCACCTTAAGATATATTTTTATAAAAATAAACAATATTAATTAATAATTTTTTTCATTAAATTAATTCAATGGATAGTTATGGAATAACGTCGTAACCAAAAATTCATGTCTATTATTTTTAATTTTCAATATTTATAAGAAATTTACTATTAAAAAAATAAAGTGGAACCTTAGGGTGGGGACTGGGGGCGGTGTGGCTTAGTGTGGTATAGTGTGAAGATAGTCACCCAAATCAAAGTCATGACTCACGGTGGCCCAAAATCGTAAACACATATGGCATGATGGAAGATGATCGGTAGCTGGTATAAAATTATCAATTATGAGACTGAAATACATTTTGGTTATTCAATAAAAAAACATATATTAATTTTAACCTATTAATATTTGGATATATACTTATAAAAAAAAAAAGTGTGAAGAATCATAAATTTAAAATTTATTTTAATAAGTAAATGATGAGCAGTGACAAAATAGTTTATTTAAAAGTTGACTTATTGAAATTAACAAGTGGAAGAGATAGGACAATGCGTACCAACAATGGCAATGCATGTGCCTTGTTGACCTTTGCACTACGAATTCGAATTTCTTTAAAATAAAATGAATTCAATTCAATGTGTTACCCATTAGTACTAATTTAATGCATAAACACATATAAAGGTGAGAATAGGCTAGACTAATCTACATAAGTCTATTACCTGCTTATTTAAGAGCACTTTAGATTATATTTATTTAATAAAAAGATGAAATTTAGATTTTTTTTAAAATTTATTTAATTAAATAAATTAAATTCAAATTATTAAATATATATATATATATATATATATATATATATATATATATATATATATATATATAGGTGTAATTTTTGTTATAGTTCGGGACTGATTATGAATTAGGGAAAATTGACTACTTTCACTTAAAAATCTTAATTCTAATATTTATCAAAAAAGTTCAAATTGGGATAGAAAGAAGATAAAGACTCTGCAAGGATATGAGACAAACACAAATAGAACAAGTTGCAAATGACTATTAGCAGTATATTATATAAATGTCTACTGTTATCCCTAATTAAAGTAATATAAAGTTATACTTAAGGAAGGTCATTCTAGTTCCAACTAATGAAAATTGAATAAACAACATACCGAGACAATCTTGCTAGTACAACACAGCATCATGCACTTTTTGAATGCCCCAGCCATCACTCTTTTTGCTCCTCTTCGCCCTAAGTTATACGTAAGAGGTTTCTTTCTTTAACATATTAACCACTAATATTTCGTAATAAAAAATCATAGATAAATTGAAGAGTGAGAAGAAAAGATAGTACCAATGTAACTAAATATGATTAGAGAGATTGGACTTATGCTTGTCTTGCCCTATGAAATGAGAGGAAAATTACTAATGAAGTTTGAAATGTTTGTGTTACATTTGGACTAAAAGGTAATGAAAATGAATTTGAGGAAATCATGTATATGAAAAGGATAAAGAAAGCGAAATGTGAGTTAATATCAGCTATGGGTTTGTAGTTGACACTACTTCCTTATCTCTATTCTCTCACTACCAATCTGAAGGATGTTCTTAAATCTTAAGCCACAAGTAAAAGTGAATTTTTGCATAAACGTTATCTTAGTCAAGAATATTTGTGAATCTGATTTGACGACAATGCCAATTTGTCTTGTAATGCATTTGATTGATGTTTGTATTTGCATTTTGAAGGCCAACCAATGTTATGATCCATTTAGTGGATATTGTTATTTGAAGAAAGATGACTCATGGAATAATATAATTATTACCTTTTTCTCGTCTTTTACCTTTTTGTTTAAAGTTTAATTTAGTGATTTATGTTTTAAAATATTTATTTTGAAAAAAAAATCTTTACAATGATATATAAATGGTTGATTGATGTGTGATTCAAGTTTAAAAGAAGTTAGTTAAATTAGGTAATTTATTTTTGGGTTAATAGTCATTTATCTTCTTGTCAATTTCATATAGATATTTTTTGAAAAAATCTCACATAAAATAAAATTGTATGAATTCTCCTAATATTTGAAGATTCTCTCATTTTTTATCTTTATCACATTAAGTCATCAAATATAGTCATCAAATATACTGACGTGATAGATATTTTTTTATTGATTTGAATGATCCATATAATTTTTTATTTTACTTATTTATTATTTTTAATGTTAAGTAGACATTTTATATTGTATTAATTTTTGATTGAGATGTGAAAAAAAGATAACAACCATCCAATAGATTGGTTGCATGCTTATGTTATATTAACAAATTTAAGTATTCTTATAGTATACAAAGCCTTTGCATTATTATTTTCAAATTTTCATTTACATAATCAAAATAATTTAATTTGATGGGAGATTATTTAATTTGATTAATATAATTATTTACATTTGATGAAGCACCATTTATATAATCAAATGTAATTTAATTTGATTAATATTTATTATTTAATAAACTTAAACATTAAAATAAATTAAATTTAAATTTAATAAACCTAAATATTTAAAAACTTATTAAATGTAAAGTAATTTAAATTTAATAAACTTAATATTTAAATAATTTAAATATTTAAATAAATTAAATAATTTAAGTTATTAAATATTAAGTATTTAAATATTGAAATTATTAAATATTAAGAATTTAAATATTTAAGTTATTAAGTATTAAATATTAAAATTTAAGTTATTAAGTATTAAATAACTTAATAAATATATTTGAATGCATCAACTATACAATATTTCTCATAGTATATAGCTGAGTTTTTAGATATTACTTCCGATATATTTTTTATATAATATTTCAATGTATCAAATTCTTATTAAAATAATTAATCATTTAATATTAATTGATATGAATTTATTTAGTAAATATTAAAAAAAGAATATATTTAATATATTTATGAAAATATTGTGTTAAATGAAATAAAAATATTAATTAAAAAAATATATTTATTTATATTGAAAGTAATAATATATTTAATATGTTTAAAATTTATTTATATTTGATTATATAAATAAAAGTAATAATATAATAGAATTGTAAATGAAAATAACAAGCGAATGCTATAAGAATCATTCAATCTGTTGAGTATTTAATAATATTTTTAAACATAAAGATCAGTATTTTTGGTGATTCAATGTGATAAAGATAAAAAATGAGAAAATATTTAAATGTTAGGGGAATTTACGCAATTTTTTTTACATGAGATTTTTCAAAAAACGTCTATATAGCCGGGACTAAATGACTATTATCCCTTTATTTTTTCATCATAATGCCTTCACATAGACCTTTGACAAAAAAATAAAAAAATGTTTCTAAAATTCAGAGATGCACACACTCATTTTCATAAAATTGAACTTAAATGAGTGAGTCACTCTATATATTAATTTCGGATATGTATATCCGAATAAATCTATTATTTTAGGAAAAATTGTATTTTTCGATATGCACATCCAAAAATTCTCTGTTGTATTTATTTTAATTTAGTTCAACAATGCAACAAATATATAAATAGCAACAATGTCCCTATTGAGAAAACCAATTGAAAATTAGAAAAATGATTTATATAGAATTATAAAATTATGAAAATACAACTAAAAATTAAATTAAGAAGAGTCTGCAAATTTTTCTGAATTTTTTCGAAAATATGAAAACAAAAAATAAAAAAAATAAAAAGAAAAGAAATTTAGGGTTTTTAGGGTGGTGTCCCTTGAAATAAGGGACTTTGATCCCTGATTTTTTCTGATGAAATGACATTGTAAAATTTCGATTTAAAATAGATTTTTTTTCTTCAGAAAACCGAGTTTTTTACGCTAGGTCGCGTAAAGGTCAGAAACGCATGAGCACAAGGGTCAGAGGATACAATTTCTATGACTTCTTAATATTGGTTAAAATCGACAAAGAGTCCCCGACGTCCGACAACGATGCCAATTTTCCGAATTCACCTTAGAAAATTTCAGAGATACATCTCCGAATCAATTTTTGGTAAAAGTGAAATAAGATGCATTCGAAAATATATCTACAAAATTTTTTAAGAATATTATCGAATTTTCAAATGTTGAACCCACACCATAAAGGTGGAAAAAGAAATTGACTTAAATTATTTGTAGTACAAATAGCTAACTAATTAAGTTGTTTAAGTATTTGGGTCTTATTAGTGTTTGTAAGCCCAACTCAACTAGTGTTATATAAGCAATTATTATTGGTTCGTTAGTGCATGTATCAATCACAAGCGAGTGAGAACGTGAAGTGAAATATTTATAAATTATATTTGTTCTCTTTGTATCATCTAGTTGTGTGTATAGTTCTAATAAATGGTATTTAGAGCCCACATATTCCTAAGTGTTTGAGATTTGGTGTCGATTATATGAGTGAAGATGATAAATTCTTTAGAGAATCTTGGAAACAATTTTAGTATGAAACTCCTTGTTTTTTATAGCAAAAAATGATATATATATATATATATATATATATATATATATATATATATATATATATATATATATATATATATATATATATATATGGAGCAAACAAACAAAAGTGAAATATGGGTTCTAAATAGAATGCAAGTTGATCTTTAAAACCTTTCCAATTATGTATTAGAAGTTTAGATTGTTAGATATAAAGAATTAAAGAAGAAATTTTTTGATGTGTTATTTTACATTCATCAATGTGTTGACGTGGTGAATTTCAAGAAGATTGAAAATATAACTTTATTGAAAGAGACATTACACATTATTGAGAAACGTCATGTTGGTGATGACAAATTCAAGAAAATTTGTTTACAAATGCTGAGAAGACAATTCAAGTTATAGTAGGAGGAGAACAGTGAGAAGGTTGTTAAGTATTTCAATATGATCACACAAGTTCCCAATCAGATGAATAGTGTGTTGACGTTATTTCTTATCAAACCAACATGAACAATGTCACATGCACTCTCTCCTTAAGATTTGATTACATTGTAGGGGGGTTGAAGAATCAAATGATTTGTTTGTATTAAAGGTTGGGAAATTATAGCATTCCTTGGAAGTACATGAACAAAGGGTGCTTGAAAGAACCAAAGTACGTGTGACTAGTATGTTTTGTCGGTTCAAACATCCAAGAAAGGTGGTGGTTCTAACTGGAAGGAAAAAAAACAAATTCAAGAAAGGGGGGTCTTAGCAAGATAACTTCAAGAAAGATGATCAACCTGAATGTTCTTCAAAAAAATAATATTGTCGATCAAGATAAGAATGAATAAAATCCAATGAGTAAGAAGAACATTCTTCGTTATGATTTCTAAAGGTTTGAAAACTTTACATATGTGTTAAAGAAACATGTTTCCAAAGGCAAAGTCAATGCAAAGAATGAGACACTCGGGTCCTCTTCTCTTATTGGAGATAACAAATGATGAAATTGGAAGTATCAGTGAATGGTATTTGCATACATAATGTTTGAAATTATGGTAATTAGATCACAAATGTCCTATAGGATGCTGCAACATCTATTATGACTAAAATAAACATGGCAAGGTATAACAAACAAAAATAGTACTGTAAAGTAAAACAACACACAAAATTGTTAACTCAGTTCGGTGCAAACTAACACCTACTCTGGAGGCTACCAAGTCAGGAAGGAAATTCACTAGACAATATTAATCCAAAGCTAAATTAATCCTAAGTTTACACCTTATAACTTAATCACTATCCTGTACAACTTCTACCTAGGTCCTCCCTAGATATGAGAAATTCCATCTCACTTATAATCACCACAATAATGTCTAACAGTTCTAGTTCTAGTTCCAGTTACTGTATCGGCGACCTCTCACCTAAATGAAGATCACACTTGAAATACAAAATAAACACCTTAATTAAGACACCTCTTGATTAAGAACAACATACTTTATTTTTCTTCACACCTTTGATCAAGAATGATACTTAGAGTTGCTTAAAAACTTTCTCCAATAACAATATTTCCTCTTTCTTAAAATCTTCGAGGAGAATAATAACAAAGATTATAACTCTATAACACAGTACAACTCACAACCCGATTAGATCATACAAACTAACTCTCCTAGAGAGCAGCACAATGACAAAGCCCTAATGATTCTACATCCTGGACTCGTATAAAATTAGGTTACAAATACTTCTATTTATAAACCTTTTCCAAATTGGATTTGGACTTCAAAAACAAAGCAGAAAGATTGCACAAAATCAGGAAAAACTTCTCCAAGAAAATAGGTCTTCCATCATAACTTTCCTAAAATGTCTCCATATTTAGAAAGTTTGAATATCTTGAAAAACCAACATAATATCTCTGATTTATTAATCTTGGACGCCACATAGAATATTTAGTAATTAAATCACAATAACTAAATCCAGATTGTCAGTTGTAGCAGACTTGATGTCCTATACTTATGGTTAAGACATCCCTTCCGACATGTTCAAACAGCAAGTTGGAACATCTTCTAAACTGCAAAACTTAACCATCCAGATGTCATGCTCTTCTGGTTAGGACATCACATTCGACATGTTAAAACTGCAAGTTGAAACATTTTCCAAACTGTAAAACTGTAACAGATCAGATGTCATATACTTCTAGTTAGGACATCACATTTGACATGTTGAATCTACAAGTTGAAACATTTTGTTTGCCGCCAAGTTAGTTTTACCAAAATACATGGCAATCATAATTTCAGAGAAATAATAATCTCTTCCTTTGGTATATTTTGGCTAAAACAACCCAATAATTCTTGCATAAGAAAACACCGTAATCATGTTTAAAAATTAATCAAACACACACATCAGAGGCACAACAGTAAAGTAAACATAATAGCAGAGTTATAAGAAGTAACATAACCAGAGAAATAGTTAGTAGTTATTCGGTCTATTAAACACAGTTGCAACAAATAGAGAAATTAAATTCTCAACACCATGATGTCAAGACATCTTGTCTGACCTCTTTTCAGAGCCCTCCAGTCCAGCATATCAGGGACTTCCCCTCAACACCTGCTTAACACAACAAAGAAATTCTCCCTCTCAACAACAATATCAGCTTGTCTGTGGTTTAGTGGTTAGTGCACATACACATTTCTCCCCCTTTTTAGGCATAATAAGGCAAAGATAAACAACTAACCAAAAACAAAATGCACACAAGTGCTAAGAAAATCATGGTGAAACAAGCGGTTGAACAAATCATCAAGATGAAATCAATGAAATCACCATCAAACTTCTTTTATCCCACAAGAAGGGAAAGGGGAAACATCGAGAAAACCTGAAAGGGTGAAATCACGGTCTTGCGACCATAGAGATTAGGTAAGGAAGCCAGTTACGCGAGGGGAATGCATTAGCACCCTACACGTCTGTGGTACTTCACAGGATCTACTTGTGTTTGTTCTGATCTAAGGGTGTGTAAAATCTATGTCTAGAGCTTAAGAGCTAAAATAAGAAAGATGCAAAAAGGGAATGCATGAAAAAGAGAAAACATGGGAAAAAGAAGGAAATATTACAAAGGTTGCTCGGCTGAGTCCCGTGACCAGATGTCTACAAATCCCTTTTAAGGAATCAGAGCATCGTAGTTCGGCTAAAAAGTTTCCGTTTGTTTGGTATTTTTTTAATGAATAGTATTAATTTCACCTTCTTCCGCAACTCAACCTTTAGAGACTTACTCAATCAATGAAGACTATTATTAATTTTATAAATTTTGGAAAAATAGGAAAATTGAAATGTAAATTCAATTAAAAATTATAGAAAATTGACTCAATATCTAAGGGTCAACAAGTAAATTTTTGTGGAATTTTATCAATAGAAGAAAATATCAAACAAAAATCATTTGCACAATGTAACAAAAAAAAGTAAAAAAAATGATATAACTTGATTTATTTTATTTGCTTGTCAAAATATTTTATAAAATCAAACAAAAATTATTTTTATGAAGTAGGCTCAAATTGAAACTTAGTATATTTTTTGTGGATTTTTTATATTAGTAAAACTTGGAAAATAAAATTCTAGAACTTAAAAGATAATAAAAACTCTAATTGAAATTATTGATTTATTTAATATTCTAAAATGATAAAAATAAAAAATAAAATTCAGAATGTGAAAATAGACTAAAAAAAGAGTCTAATATATTTTTTTTGATAATTTTTTAGTGATAGAAAATATTAAAACAAAATTAAAGAAATCTTAGAGCAAAACAAAATCTAGACATGAAGTCACTGTAATGAACAATTTGAACATAAGTTACAGAGTACAAATTCAAGCTTCAAATTGCATGTGAACGCTCATCAGATCTAAGATCTGGCCAGCTATGCTATCATACGAGATCTACATCTTATCCACAAGTGAAAGTTCAGATAGAAGCTTAAGAATCCACTTACCTTAAGTGAGTGGGAAATAAATTCACTCTATGCCTCTGAAATTGAAAGAAATCTGATGAACATCTCTCTTTCACTTCAATGACGCGTGACTATGCAGCAATTGGAACCTTGAGCAAATAATCTTGAGAGAAAATTTTGAAGAAGGAAATTCTGCTTTGAGAGAGAAGTTGAGCTTTCAAAGAGAAGTTCCAGAGCTTTTGTGTGAATGTTGATCCATCTTTTTTGAAATAAGAATGAATGGGAGTTTATGTAGAGAAAGGAAGTGTGTTGAAGAAGTTTTTGCTGAAGGTAAGACAGTCTTTTGCAATTTGGAGCCATTGGAAATAGCTTTGCTTGCTGCATTTTGTGTTGTTTCTAAATGATTTGATAGTCGTTTTGGAAAGAGGTGAGGGAAGCATGATTAATGACCTGGCTTGAGCAGCATATGGGAAATTAAACTTGGTAGCATGCCAAACAATATTGACTAGCTCACTTCCTTCTTCAATTTCTCTTAATTTGCTCATGCATTTCTTTGCTTAGGAGGCCTTTAGAAATCTCTTTTAATGTAGATCATTATAGAGCTTTTAATTATTGAAATTGATGTTTGGAAGTGATAGATATTTCAATGAGAAGTTTGGAAAAAAGAAGCATGGAAGGCCAGGGTGCGCGCACGTGCATGGACATGCATGGCTTGCGAGAAATGCAACTTTGAGGTCTTCACTTTGATTGACTAT